TTCTTTCTCTAAGAGGGAAAGTCAGGATGGGTTATAGCTAAAGATTAATTCACACTCTGCAGCATCGCTTTTTTTTTTTTTTCTTCCTGAAATAGGAAGCACAATTAAAAGAGAAGCTAGGAAGGCAGAGAATGGGCCAAGACAGTAGGAGAATGATGAACGTGTAGAGTAGCCATTAATTGCTCACCTTGACAGCACATATGCTAGAGGAGCCATTGAAGGAACTGGCTGGCAGATGTGATAGAATTGTCAAGGTATATAAAAAACCTAGCAAATTGGACACCATGAATTTATCAAGGCAACAACCACCCACCTGTGTGATTTTTTTCCAGCAGCCCTCAAGGGTCATGTATAGGAATGTATTGAACCAGGGGTTGGATTGCTACATTATTGAGTATTTGTACAGCGGATGTGACAGGATGTCACTGGAGCAGAGAGTTGAGAGTACTGGCAAGAAATGACAACACTACAAATGGGCAGACAAGCCATCTTGCACAGTGACATGTGAGCGGACATTGTGATCTTATAATGGAGGAATTAAGGAAGCATTGGCAGAAAACAGTTAGAGCCATCTCTGCTCGCTGGTCTGGGAGCCTTCAAGTGCTAACTTGGTCCACCAAGTTCTAGCAGATGTCCAAGAGGAAGGCCACTGTCCCTTCCATGACTGTCTCTTGGGAGGCACTCTCAACTGTATAGTTTGGCAGTGCATATATGAGCTGACTCTTTTTTCTGTTTCAGCTAATTCTGGTAAGAAGTGCTTTCACCAGAAAAGTGGAATAAAATAAAGTGGAAGATTTTTGAAAAGCCTCAGAAGTGACAGAACAGAATTCTTACTTTGAGCCCACAAGAGTCTGGCCCAGGATTTTTGGTTTATTAGAGTTTTCCTGGCAGCTCTCCTGAGTCTTTTTTTTTTTTTTTTTCTGCCTAGACCCAACTGCTGAGACCACCAACCTGAGTTTCTTTTAGGTGGATCCCTCTCCATCCACATCCTTGGCTTCTACCTGAAAATGAGCCCCAGCAGCTGGCTGTGACAGGCTTCACCTCTGTAGCTACCTTGACCACTTCAAGTTTTCTCCAACGTTCAGCCCTTTTGCGTGGGCCGTTCTGACCTGATCCCCAATAACCCTTCCTGTAGTTACAAATCAGCCCACATTTGTCCTGCAGCAATCTTTTGTTCCACCAGGTTGTTTTTGATTCTGAGTCTTTGATCAATTTTCATCTTGATCAATTTCTCTCCATCCCCTTTGACTTGCCTCGAGATGTCCCCAAATCAGAAGTTTTTTAACTTCTTTTTTAACTTCCTTTTTGGGACTCAAACGAATGTCTTCATTGACAGTGGGTGGGATTCTCTCATATAGGATCTGTCCACGGGTCGTGTCCTCTCTCAACTCAGAACTGAGAAGGTTTCTTCTTTTCTTCTTTCCAAAGCAGGTTTGAATGACATTAGATGAAAAGGAAGAAAACTCTGAAGTCTCTTTGAATGAAAAGAAAACAGGAGAGGCACAGAAAGCAGAGAGAACTCATATGCTTCCCTGTCTGTTCCTTTCCTTGTTGACTGACTTACTATTCGTGCGAGAAAGGTTTCCAACCCCTTTGGTAATAACAATGACTGGTTTGAGGAAAGAATAAGAACACAACATTTATTCAGCAACTTCTGTGTCGGGCGTTTTTATACACATCGCATTTAATCCCTATAACTGCTTTATTGGATAAGGGTTATAAAAAGAAAACCCTTAGGCTCAAAGGCTAAGGTCAGAGAGTGGAGCTCAGATTCAGAGGCTGGCCCTACAGACTGCAAAAACACCATTTACCCCTTTGACTTCATTCTGTCATCTCCACTTTTACCCCAGGTAACCTCATTTGCTTTCCATGTATCTTCTGTGATTTTTGTTGGGCTAACCTATTTTGAGTTTTTATTAAGAAAGATACTCTCCAGCTTACGGAAAGGTATATGAGACACAATCCTATTGGTGCCTGCTTGTCACAGCTTCACAATTCAGTATTGCAAAGCCATTGTAGTTCAAAGGCACTGCTAGCTCAGTAACTCACTTCATTAACGGTGCTGCCTGAACAAAATGCCCAGCAAATTAGAAATAAACAAATCCTTGGGATGCATGGTAATACATTTAGAAAGCACAGAAAGAGGCATGCAGACAGAACAAGTGAGAGGGAGGAAGGAGGTGGTAGAGGAGAAAAATCATTATCAGGATTAAGAGGGATTTTGCGATCCCATATGTACTCTGCACATGGTGTTTTTAGAAAGCATTTCTGAGAAATATTGGAGAATCCGTTCTGAATCTATCTTGTATTTATCTTGACCTTTTCACTTCCCTGTCCCTTGCCTCCCACATTCAATTTATTATGAAGTCCTGTCAGTCTTACCTCCAGAATAGATCTCAAATCCCTCTCTTCCTGCTGATGGACACAGGCATGGTGCGGTCTCTAGTGCACACCTGTATGCAGATCTCTCTGGGTTCATGGGAAGATGGCTTGTTTCTGACTCCCACTTTACAATTAGATAAGGCATGTGGCCAGTTCTAGCCAATGACACATCTCACTTCTGGGCTAAAATGTTCAGATACAGGATAAAACCTTCTAGCACTTTGTTCTTCTGCCACAGCAATTGTGGAAGCAAGTGGTTGAAAAGAAGGTAGCACCAAGCAATCGACTTGAGTCCCTGTATTAGTCAGGATTCTCCAGCAAAATAAAACCAATAGGACAGAGATAGGTATATAGTCATGAGCCAAATAACAGTTCAGTCAGCAACAGACCTCATATACCATGGTGGTCCCATAAGCTTATAATGGCTGTAGCATAGAGCCTAGGTGTGTAGTGGGCTACGCCATCTAGGTTGATGTGAGTACACTCTGTGATATTTGCACAATGACTGAATCACCTAACAGTACATTTCTCAGAACATATCCCCACTGTTAAGTGATGCATGACTATATAAAGATTTATGATGAAGGATTAGCTCATGCAATTGTGAAGGCTGATAAGTTTCATGATCTTGTCTCTGAAAACTGGAGAACCAGAAAAGCTGGTGGTGTAATTTAGTTCAAGACCAAAGTCCTGAGAAGGGAAGCCATTGGTGTAAGTCCCAGTCTGGTCCTGAAGGCCTGAGAATCAGGAGTGCTGATGTCCAAGGGCAGAAGAAGAGCGAGAGAGCATTCTTCCTTCCTTCACTTTTCTGTTCTATTTTGGCCCTCAAGGGATTGGATAGTGCCCGTGCACAATGGTGAGGGCAGATCTTCTTTCTGCAGTCTACCAATTCAAGTGCTAGTCTCTGCTGGAGACACCCTCACAGACACACCCAGAGATAATGTATTACCAGCTATCTGGGCAACCCTTAAATTAACTATCTCATTCCCTAAACTGCATGGAGCACAGCTGCCCTAGAAGGCTGCCCAGATATATATGGTGGGTATTTCATGAGCAAGAAACAATACTTTGTTTTGTAAAGCAACTGAGAGTTCAGTGCTGGTTGTTATCACATCATAGTCTATTCTCTCCTGACTAGTAACATAAGTTGCCTTCGTGTCTCTCCTGGAATCCCGCACAAACTTCTGCACTTTTCCACTTCCTTTTTAGCTCCATCTCCCCTCATTTTTCTGCAAAGTTGTTATAGTGAACCTCTGAAAACATACATCAGGTCACATCACTCCCCTGTCCATAAACCTTCTATTGCTTCCCCTTGTTATCAGGATGAATTCTAAACTTTTTGACGTGATTTTCCAGGCTTGCATGCTCTGGCCCTTGCTTATCCTTCCAACACTCCATAGCCTTTTGCCTTTAACCTCACTGTCCTTCATTCAGTTCCCCGGATATTCCAGGCTGCTCCCCATTCTGGGACCTTTGTGCACACTTTCCCCTCTGCCTGGAGCATTCCCCCCTCTTGCCAAAGTTCACCTAGCTTGCTGGGATCGTCCCTGGGACCTAAATGCCATTCCCTCAGAGACCTCCCCTGACCCCTCTGTGTGAACAGGTCTCCTGTTACCTCTCTTCCATGCTGCCCATTCTATTTTAACCACACTAGTCACAGTTCCTCGTTCCGTATTCATTTGCCTGGTTATTTGTTTGATAAATATCTTCTTCCCTAACCAGACTACGAGCTCTGTTTTCTCCACTTCTCTATCCTAAGCATCCCATGCCTGGCCCCCCAGCCCATTTTAGGTTCTTAACAAATGCCTTTTGGATGTTTAAATAAATGCATTGACAGTAAGTTTTATATCTATTTCTATATATATATTCAAAGTCTAAGGAAAGCGATAGTAGATACTTTTTGAGCACTTACTATGTGTGAGGCCTGGTGCCAAGTGCTTTGCATTGTTTTCTATAGCATGTATATATCATGACAATAACATTATGAGGTGAGGGCTTTTATTCTCACTTGGAGATGTGGAAACCTATGCCTGAAGCAGTTAAATAACATGACATTGTCCATGATGCTCGTTAGGCAGCCCAACTCCATAACCCATGCCCTTAGCCTACTTTTTGATTTGGTTTTGTCCCACATCCAATTTTCCAGGTTTATAAAAAAAAAAATAGCACCAGGCCCTTATATCACAGCTATTATAATAATCAGAGGTCAGAATTGCCTTGTGTTCTTTCTGGAGAAAACTATTGATCTCCTGTGTCCGCGTGCTTCCTACTTGAGACAGCATCTTTTAAAAATAAAGGCTATTTACCTACACAATGGTTAAAACAATTTAATTACTTGTTCATTCTAAGTACTATCATCAAAATATGAAAACCTGAAAATGTGAAGTTTTCAATATAGAGTTCTTTTGTTTGATTTTATAGTATAAACTTAAAAAAAAAATTAGACCCATCACAAGTGAAAATATCAATTTCCTTTTCCAGGGAGAAATCCAATAAAGAAATGAAAAGCAGACTTCATTTGGACATACTTTATCAATTAAATCTGATTTTTGTTAACAATATGTTGTAAGCTCTCATTTTAAATCAATCTTTATCTTTAATCTCTTTCATGAAACAGCACATATCTGAATGAGAAGTCACTCCAACTGGCAGAGAAATGCAAAAATCTGCAGTATGGCTTTGAGTTTTTATCTAACAAAACAAAAGGGTAAGTTCTACTCTTCATTTTTAATTTCATTTTAAAATAAGTGTTTTGTATTCAAAATGTTTCATAGTGTCTTTGAAATCATTTGGAAAATGGACTATGTTCTCTCTGAGGCTCGATGTTGGGCTCTGAATAGCTTCTGTTGGTGAGGAAGATGCCAAGCGTCAAATGGTGCAGACCAGGGTTGGACCCTGCAAAAGGGACTCAGCTTATCTGTCCCGGGATCCACATTCATTAAAAACACCATGGAGTTTTCCTGGCTAGACTTTTATAGGCCTTCAATTCTTTTGAGAGTCCAGTACATTGTGGACCTTGTCCTAGAGAAATGCACCCATGTACAAAATTTTGCTTACAAATCCAGAAGGTTAACTGATTTACCCCCAGCCCCAGCTGTGGTCCTCCCCCCAGCTTCTCTACCCCTGATTACAGTCCTGTATTTTAGAGAGGCCAATGCATCATCTTCTTCAACCTGGGGAAAAGGAAGTCTAAAAGCTCCATGCTTCATACATGCAAGAGGCACTGGTGGCCTGATGTGTGGAAGCAAGGAGCAATGTTTTAATTGCATCTGGGAGGAGCAGAGTCTAACAGTGCTGGACAGAGGATGTGTGGGGGGCAGGGGGTTATGCCTGTAATCTCCCTAAGAGAAAGCAATCCGCATTTTATTTTGCTGTGTGCTTGCCTGGCAAAGTATGATCGTTTTTCTTTATAAATCACCCAGTCTCAGGTATTCTGATATAGCAACACAAAAATGGACTAATACAACCTCTGGTTTGAGTTAATTGACAACCCAATCCTGTGTGTTACTTCAGCTTATTGAAGAAAGATAGCCCTATTTCAATATTTGGTTTCTTTTTCTTAAATTATAACTGATGTGCCCTATGCTTGCTGGAGGAATCCACTGTGCCATGTATCTTTCATTTGCCACACAGATCCACTTCTCATCTTTCACAGCCCTTCACTATGGCTTAGTTTTTGTCTTTGCCCAGTGAGATTGGCCTAGATGGACTTCATCAATAGGCTATGGGCTCTTTTTTTAAAAAATTTTAATTTAATTTAATTTAATTTTTATTTTTGGCCACAAACAAGTCTTAATACATTTTAAAAGACTAAGATCATAGAAAATAATAGAAGATGCATTCTCTGACTACAATAACAGAAAGAAATTTAGAAAATTCACAACTGTGAGGAAATTAAATAACACTGTTTTAAATAAATGATGGGTAAAAAGAAAATCACAGGGAAATTAGAGAGGACTTTGAGATAAAGATCAAAGTGCAACATATCAAAATTTATAGGATGCAGGGCTCATGCAGTGCTTAGAGGAAAATTATTCTTGTATACACTTATATTAGAAATAAGCAAAATCTCAAATCAATAATGTAAACTTCTACCTTGAGAAAATAGAAAAAGAAGAGCAAACTAAACCTGAAGCAAATATATGTAGGAAATAACAAAAATTACAACAGAAATATATGAACTAGGGAATTAAAAACAATAGAGAAAAACAACAAAACCAAAAGTTGATTCTTTAAAAAGGTCAACAAAATTTGCAAACCTTTATCTAGACTGACCAAGAAAAAAAGAGAGAAGACTGAAATTACCAAAATCAGAAATAAAGCAGAGGCATTATTACATTGTCATTATGGTTTTTTGTGGTGGTAAGATTTAGTTTCTTTCTCTTGCTTGTTTGCATTTTTGTTCTACCAGTGGGTTCTATTCTTTCTTGTGTATTCATGGTAGTGATTATTGTTTTTCAGATTCCTGATGCAGGACTTCCTTGAGGATTTCTTATAGGGCTGTTTATGTGGTGGTGAACTCCCTGTTTTTGTTTGTCTGGAAGATATACTATTTACCCCTTATTTCTGAAGGATAGCCTTGCTGGGTATAGTATTCTTGGCTGGCAGGGTTGTTTTTTTTTTTTCCTAGTATTTTGAATATTTCATCCCATTTTCTTCTGGCCTGTAGAGTTTCTGTTGAGAAGTCTGCTGTTAATCTGATAGGGGCTCCTTTATAGGTGACTTGACACTTTTCTCTTGCTTCTTTTAAGATTCTCTCTTTGTCTTTAAGCTTTACCAGTTTGACTATAAAGCATCTTGGAGAGGATCTTTTTGGGCTCAATCTGTTTGGTGCTCTGAGCCTCCTGGATCTGAAAGTCCATGTCTCTCCTATACATGGGAAGTTTTCCAACATTATTTTGTTGAATAGGTTTTCCGTGCCTTTTCCTTTCTCCATCCCTTCTGGAACACACATAATTTGAATGTTTATGTGCTTAAAGATTGTCTGCTAGCTCTCTTATATTTTCTTTATTTTTAAAATTTTCTTTTTCTTTTTTTTTTTTCTTTTTGGTCCACCTGGGTTATTTCAAGAAGACTATCTTCAAGATCAGAAATTCTTTCTTCTGTTTTTTCTAGCCTGCTGCTCAAGCTATTGGTTGTGTTTTTTATTTTGTTGAGTGAATCATTTATATCCATGAGTTCTGCTACATTATTTTTTAAGGTATTGATCTCTGTAAATTTCCTCCTTCATATCATGGATTTTTTTTCTCATTTCATTATGTTGTCTAAGTGAATCTTCTTTGATTTAAGTTAGTTTCCTTAAGATTGTTGCTCAGAATTCTTTTTCAGTCATTTCAAGGGTTTCCTGCTCTATAGGGTCTGGTATTTGAGAATTACTGTATTCTTTTGGTGGTGTCATATTTTCTTGGGTTTTTGTGTTTCTGGTATCTCTGCATTGATGTCTGGTCGTCTGGTAGAGCAGTTACTTCTTCTACCACTCTTGAGTGGACTTTGAGGAGAGAGACATCTTCTTTTTCTGGTCTCCACTGTGACTCTCTTTGTTTCAGTGTAGTTGAATGTCTGAAAGGCTGCCTGCATGGCAGCTATGGCTACTGTTGTGGTATCGAGCCACTACTGTGGCAGCTGTGGCTGTGGCAGTGGCTGTTGTGAGCCACCCACATAAAAGTGGTGTTTTCAGCATGCTTTCTGCCTGATTCTGGGCAGAGGGAGATGCTGCCCTCAGCTCCTGCATAGGACCCTGGGTGTTGCAAACTTGCCTGTCAGGCTCTGGGCTCTTTTGCTGTCTGCTTTTTCTTTGGATTTGACAAAGGGGGAGCAGAAAAAAGAGATCAGAAAGAGGGAGGAAGGAAAAGAAGCCGTCTCCTTGTAGTGTTGTTGCAGGTTACCTATGTCCTTGACTGAAGGAAGGTGCTTCATGGCAAAGGCTATGAATTTATTAGGTCTCTCTCTCTGTCTGTCTCCCTCATTTTCTCTTGCTCTTGCTCTCTCTGACACTTTTTCTCTCTTGCTCTTTCTCCCTCTCTCTCCATTTCCTCCAGTGGACCCTTCAACTTAGGGATAAGCTGCTAATAGTTTCCTGGTTTTACACTTGGATTTCCCTATATCTTGCCCAGCCCTTTAGGAAAAGCCTTTCTTTAAGCCCTTCTTAATTTACACAATTTGTAAAGGTAATCATTCCTGCCAAGATCCTAGCTTACTATAGATTGACCACAATGAACACTTTTGCAAATGCTTCTCCCCTCACATGATTAATTCATCGAATTTTAGGGTGGACTTAAAGTAGCTCATGCATTATAGATGGCACTACATACCTGTTTTGATCATGTTGGATCTGTTGTTTTGTTTGTTGTTTGTTGGGCGTTATGATGTTCTTTCTGAAACTTTTCCTGAGGGACTCAAATTTCAAACCTCTTGCAGTACTGTTCACATGTCAGACATATGGCACAATGACATATGGAAAATATAACTGGAGAAAATAGTCCTTGCCTGATATGTAAATCAGTGTGTGGAACTCACATTTGACTCTCTTCAATGCTCCCTCTGACAATAACTGTTTTCACTGTCCAAGGTGCCAGAAGTCCTCAGTGTAAGGATGATCGATATCTATACATTGTAGCACAGCACTTGAGTCAGCAAAGGAGAAAATTCTCTAATGATGGAGCGTGTCTTTTTCAAGGCAGAGAATTTGACAGCTTTTTTTATGTGCATCGACAAAAAGTGGTGACTGCAGTATGCTAATGAGAAGGCTGTGCATATACTATCATGTTGCTCTCTCACTTTTTTCCTGTTGTTTTGAATATGGTGCTAAGACCTTTTTTCAGCTACTCTTTAGGGGGATGCCTTTCCATCACACGCACAATTTTCAGCTAGCTCATATAATTAGCGTGCACTGGTATTCAGTTCGGCAAAGGTCTAGAGAGAGCAGGCACGAATTGCCCATTGTTATAAATGCATTATTTTGCACGCAGGAGACTAATTTTTTTGGCTATATTGTCTATTGTCAGGAATGTGTGTTCTGCAACTAGTGCTATTACAGACTTACAGGGGACAGTAGGGAAAGCCATTCAGTGTAAGGTGATAAAAAAGTAATTTCATTTTCTTAGAAATAATTATTTAGAGCTATTTTTGTCATGGTCTGTTAAAGACTTAGAATTTTCTTTATTCAGCCAATTTATCTCTTTCAGGTGGCTAAAATAGAATGTAGGAAGACAGAGTTATAGTGGAAGGAAAATAGCACTCCTTTTCTCCTCTAGCCTTGACTACATTTTTTGAATAAAGGAAAATTACTGACCAGGAAAAAAAAATTAAGCAGTTTCCATTAGGGGAACCAGTGGGATAGGATGTTATGCATAATAATTCTTTATTCTCTCTTTAAGACACTGAGCTCCAAAGAGAGTGGGACAGTGTCTTGTTCACACTTCTATCCCCTCATGCCTGTCACAGGGGCTTGGAATGCAGTAGATCCTCACTAAGTATTTGTTGAATACACAAATGAATAAAAAAATGTATGGTTTGGATCTTCAAAGCATTTTTGATACATCTCCAATTTCTAGGTATTAAGAAGTTATCCATCAATCCATAAACTCCAACTCCTTTTTGAAACCAATTTTAACTTCTTTGACTTTTTCTCTTACTTTGCTCAGTTTCTTTCTACCTCATCCTTTTCCCCTGAATGTTTCTCTGGATTTCTCTAGCCCAATCCTTTTC